CACAAACCCATTCTCTGTAAGATGATCATGCAGTAACTTGTTCCAGTTCCGCCCGGATTGCTTTAAACCATACAATGACTTGTTGAGTTTGCATACTAAGTGTTCCCCTGTTTTAGATTTTGCCTCAAAACCTTCGGGCTGTTCCATATATAACTCGCAGTCTATTGGTGCATGGAGATAAGCTGTCTTCACATCCATTTGGTGTAGGATAAGATCATCCTGTATAGCCACCTGCATCAATGTACGTACAGAAGTCATATTTGCTGTCGGTGAAAAAGTTTCCTTGTAATCAATTCCCTCTACTTGACTATAGCCTTTAGCTACATATCTGGCTTTAAAAATCTCAGATCCATCTGGGCTTTCCTTTACTGCATATACCCAACGACCTCCCACTGCTTGCTTGCCTTTTGGCAGTGTGGTCAGACTGAAGGTCTCATTCTCTGTTAAAGAGTTAATCTCCTCTTTCATTGCATCAGCCCACATTTTTGATTTCTTAGAGCCTACAGCCTGCATGTATGTTTTGGGTACGTCACAAGCAACTCTGTAGAAATAATCTACATTTTCACCTTCATCATTACAATCAGCCTTACACTGATATTCCAATAAATATTCTGGAGCATTTCTTTGTCTAGTGGGATAGCGTCGTGCACTCTCTCCCTGTTCTCTTTGAGTACTATCTGTCTGGATCTGACTAGCCTCAATATTCTCCGCACTATCGGACTGTACACCCACATTAGGCTCTCTCTGATTCTGGTTGACCATTTTTGTCCCTGCTGGTGTTGTGGGAATAATTTCTCCATAAGTGTCATCATCCATATTACGATTTGTCTGAGTCTGACTATCTGCGCTACTCTTTGTGATACATTTTACCAGCCTATGTTTCAGGACTTTCCCTGTCTCAGGATAAAATACTTGGAATGCTGGGCTATATTTGTCGTATCCTACAAAAATACCCTTTGCACATCTAGAATCTAGCTTCTTCTTATCCTGCTTATACCCGTAGCATTCAGAGCCAAATATTTTCATGTTGGACAAGTTGGGTGTTTTGCCAGTAAAAACACGGTATGGTGTCTGCTCTAGACGCTTACAGTAACACCTGTTACGTATCTGTGCTGCTGTTTGTACAGCATATGTCCATAACTGCTTTGGGAGGTTACTCTCTAATAGCATGCATCGTGACATCTCAAATAAGGTCCTCCAACCTCTCTCTGCAGTACCGTTCTGGTGAGGTGAGTATGGTGCACTTGTCTCGTGCCTTATCCCTTTCGTCCTAAGTAAAGTTTGAAACTCATGCCCGGTGAATTCAGTACCGTTGTCAGATCTTATGCACTTAATGTATCCATATGGAGCAGTATCCGCTATGAATTTCTCAGTAGCTTTTGCTGTATCACTCTTTGCTTTGATAAAGTAGGGAAAAATCAACCCACTATAATCATCAGTAAATGCTATTGCATATCTGTACCCGTCTTTATCTGCTGGTTCTATTGGACCGCATAGGTCTGTATGTACTAGCTCCAGTACTGTCTTAGCTTTTACATCTGCCTGCCTGTTTCTGCTTTGAGTAAATTTTCCCTGCGTACATATTTCACAGTTATGGTTAGACATGTCATGTTTCCCTTTGATCGACATACCTTTAACCACTTTCTCTAGTTTAGACACATCCTCAAAATTACAATGACCAAGTATTCTATGCCATGTCTGGATGTCATGACAACCATTACAAACATCATCAGTATTTTCATCCTCTACTGTGCTAAGGTAATATAGCCTACCATACACATCCATTTTAAACTTGGTACCATTTTGATGAATCAGCCAATCATCACCGTCCTTGAAGCGGACCTCAGCTCCACTGGCTGTCGCTGCTTTCACGGAGAAAATGTCCTGTGAAAAAGATGGGATGTAAAGCGCTCGTTTGAGCCTCGTTTTCACTTGCCGTCCCTCGCTGTCTAGCAGAACAACTTCGGCTTCTCCCCTCATCTTCACCATCCCGGTCGTTTTCGTTCCATCTGCCAGCTCTATCACATGGTCCTCGGGTCTAAAGCTCTTATCGATTGTCTTAAACTTTGCCGGGTCATTAATCATGTGCGTCGTGGCACCACAGTCGACCATAAGACCTCTCTTATTTCCTACTTGATTTTGACAGTCACTTATTTTGAAAAAGAATGATGCACCGGTATCATCCTCCGTGTCTCCGTCTGCCTTCTTCACCTGATCACGGCCCAGCCCTCTGCCTCGGCCTCGCCCCCTTCCTCGGTGTGGCGTGTCCCACCGTCGCTCCTCTCGCCTCGCTTGGATCTCGTTAGGGCATGTCCTGGCCATATGCCCCATCTTTCCGCATGTGTAGCATTCAGTGTCGGCCAAGTCCATCTTCTTCCCTCTTCCACGTCCTCGTGTCCTTGCCCCGCAAGTCCTCATAACGCCGTCCTCATCCGCATTCATGTCACTCGTCCTATATTTGTCAGTGCTCTCATAGCTCCGCAGTTTAGCTTTGAAGTCACCGAACGTTAGACGGTCGTTGGTTTGAGTGACGTGCACGACAAACGGGTTGAATGAGTCCGGTAACCCCTTCACTACCATGGCAATCTGCAACCCCTCACTGATATTTTCTTCGGCCCTTCTCAAAGACGTGAATATAGTCTCCGCTCGAATAATATAATCAGTAACAGTCTCGTTGCTTGCTTTGTGGAGAGAAGAGAGTTCACAGTACAGGCTCACGACTCGTGGTTTGTCCTTTCCTGCGTAGTGCTCTCGGAGTATTGCCAACGCTTTTCTTCCATCTTGTTTTGCGTCTCTCATTATGAGTGATAAACTCTTATTATCTAGACACTGCACTAATTCAGCATATGCTTCTGCATTCTTTGTTGCGTCTTCTTCAAGTGCTTCTTCGTTGTTGTAGTCTATCGCTGGCTCTTCCAGGATAACTTCACTGAGGCCGCCGCAGTTCCATGTGCGCCAAAAACCTCGTCTCCCATAACTCAAAGTTTTTCTCGTCACCGTCGAATAACAACTTAAACCACCTTTGGCCTCCTTGACTGGGCCCATAACCTGTTGCGTGAGACATTATATTCAGCAGAAGTCTCCACGTTTGCAGTCAACCAAAGTAGTTTGTAAGTATGCTACGGACAGAAAACACACACGACCACATCGCTCAGAGTTTGGCCTGGAGTACGGGGCCGTTTATTGAATCTGCGCATGCTCATTAGCATGACCACGTTTCTTTCACTCAGGCACATTCTGATGATGTCATACACATGAACTGAAACATGACTTTGTTCATATACAAATATGCTTAACAAGTTGCAATTCAAGAGAATGATCCAAACCAGTTTAAAGAAAACTCAACTCTTCTGGCAATCAACACAAATCTCAGCCTAGAAAATGCAAAATGGAAGATGAATCTGGAGGATCAGTTGGGCAACCTGAAACAAGCCTATACTGTTTCAGAGAGCAACATCACAAACCTGTCTGCGGGACTCCAGTACGACAAAGTCGGTTCAACATAACCTGGATATGTTTGAGTTAGCCGGTTGGCCTAATCCAAACGCGCTCTCGCTAAGCGGTCCTAGGACGTGGGTTATCAAGTGGATCGCTCAAGCCAGCCGTGTCCTATCTAGTTAGGTGCACGTTCACATAAAAGGTGCGGGGTGGCCTAGAAATCCAATGGAAATGTCCAAATTGCAGTTAATATGATTATATCGTTGGGAAATCCAATATTTGGGATGTGTGACTCTATTAAAACCCTGTGAAAGGGCCACACGTTTTCAAGTTCCGGTTGAGATTTGGGAAGTGTCAACATGAGTACAGGAGATGATGCCATCTCCACCTCGAAGCAGAAGTCTACTGAACCGTCACATCAGATACCCCCATTCACACCAACGGTGTTTCGGGGCCGGTTCGGTGCTGGTGCTTGAAAAGCACCGGGTTTTTCCTGTTCACACCGCAGCGGAGCAGCCTCTAAGCTCCGGAATCCGGTTCGTTTCGAGCACCAAAAAGTTGTCCGTGTAGAAGCAAGAACCGCTTACGTCGGAGGGGGGCGAGATTAACCTGAGATAACAGTTAAGGCGAGTACGGCAAATAAAAGTTGTAACCAGCAGTAGTGCTGAGCAAAGTGACTAGAACGCAACCACACACTTGTAAAAAAAAAACACGCTTTATAAAGTCAGGCAACACTAACCAGGCTTCGTGTGATTCTGTTTATTTGTACCTTACTTTTTGGACCATCCGTTCGCTGTTATTGATCATTGTGGAGAGCAGGCAGACGTTTTGTTTGTTATTATAGCAGCTATCGGATGGAATCAATACATCGGCTGCACAGGTTGTCATGTCCGACTATCACAAGAAGAATCATAATGAAAAATACGCCGGTAAAAAGTGCCTGTATAAAACGGCTTAGCAAGTAGTCAGTTTAGCTTCGGTTGCTATGCTAACATCACCCATGTTATACCAGAGAAACTTTCATAACAGCGTTGTGATGCCAAACAGCGTCAATTCAGACTGACACACATTCACTTAAGGGGAACTGGGGATATGTAACAGCTGCTTGTGTGACAGTCAGACAGTGAATACTTTAGAGCCGTGTGAGCTAACCGGAGCTAACGGGAGAATACACTCCCGTTGAAGAGCAGTCAGCACTGCAGCGGTCGGTAAATGCCGCTTGAAACACATTAATAAACAATGAACCACGGCACTCTGGAGAAAAGTATAAGGTTGGAGAAGTCGTTATTTAATTTAATCTGGCTTCGTATGATTAAAAGCAACACGATCATCGACCCGACGCAGTCACCGGCCCGTTGTTGTTGTGAGGTGAGCTCCGTTGGGGAGAAACTCAGCGACGTAAACTGTGACGTCATGACGCAGCAGCGGCAGCACCAGTCGGGCTCTGAGCGGTGTGAAAAGAGCCGGCGCTAAACCGAAGAACCGGTTCTGAACCAGAAAAGCTCTAGCACGGAGCTAGAAGGGGAAAAGCCTTGGTGTGAAAGGGGTAAAAGAGACACTCTCATCAGGACTGCAGCAGGACTTTGTTCAGGACGAAAGGAAACATAATCGAGGATATGGGTAATTAAAGAATATTCCAGAGTTATGTGTGTGTGTGTTTGTCATAAGACACATCCTATGATATGTTTTTTCTTTGCCTTTATCAACATGGTTTGCTATGTAAGTTGCTTCTGAGGCTTGACCACTCCCTAGCAGCACATTATTTTAAATATCCAAATTCATTTAAGATTGAATCTTTACAATTATAATTGATCAACTCTGCTGAACATAGAGACATAATGTTTGATGCATTTGGGGATTTTTTGAGAGTGAATTAAGGAATAGCTTGTAGTTTATCAATATGTTAACCACATATGATGAACTATTACTAAATACTAAATGTGCTCCATTTTTAACAATAACAAGTACAAATGTTTTATTTATAAGATATTAGTTTGTCTAATTGGTCTTTAATCTCGTTATAAAAAGTCAGCATGATACACTTCTCTGTGTGTTTTTAGTTCTGCTTTCCTGCTCTGTTCTTTGCGTGACGGCAACTCATTTTACATCGTTGTGGTTGATTATAAACTCCATCATTTAGTGAAATGGTTCCTCATGCGTGCTGAACATAATGGGAGAGAAACTGCATATCTGATGAAACAGTATGTGTTTATCTTCCAGAGGAAATCACAGAAGAAGCTGACTATGTGAATGCACCAGAAGGCCCTGTGGATAAAAAGGCAACGCGTCCAGGTGAGCTGTGAACACAAGTAAACATGAGATCTATGTAACAGTCATTTTATTTAAATACAATTGGGATGAAGGTTACAAATGTGAATATTAAATCAGCTCTTTTTATTTTATATTAACTGTTAATTCATGTTCAGTTACGATACTCAGTCCAGAGGCCGCAATTATTCAATGTATTTTCCACCAAGAGCAGTGTCTTTGCTGATAGCCATTATAAAATCCATAATTTGTCCAATGGTTTTTGAAGTTTGATCATATTGGGAGTGATATATAGATATATAGATCGATAGATAAATAGATAGATAGATAGGTAGATAGGATCCCGATATGGGAAATGTTTACGTTGCAGCAGCATAAAAAACAAGGCAATATACATAAGAGAAATTAAGACACAATAAATAAACAGTCCAAAATATTTCTGAAATAGAAATAAAATAGCATTAAAAAGTTAAAAAGTTAAATACACATTAATGCCCACAATGTATACAATATCTTGTGTTTCATTACTGCACATATTTGATTCTAATTCTATTTCTAAGATTTCAACCCTATTCAATGTAAATACTGCTATATTTTTTATATTTTTTAATGTTATTATAGGTTTCTTAAAATAGTTTTCTATCTGTGTTTTACATTTTTCTTTTCATGTATGTGTATGTATGCAACACAACACCAAGTCAAATTCCTCGTCTGTGTTAACCTACCTGGTAATAAACCTGATACTGATTCTGATAAACTTCATAAAACAAAACACATTATGTCTATATTATAGAGGACACCAAAAAAGAAGCTGCACCAGAAGGCACAGTGGATAAAAGGCATCCCCCTCCAGGTGCATGATCAATACATTTCACTATTTAATACTGTTAACATGTTTAAAAAACATAAAGGTAAAACAGTGAGATAGTGACAAAGGTTGAAATGGTTTTAGCTGTTTCGTGGTGTGTTTATAATGTATTGAAGCATTAGCTTAGCCTGTTAAATGGTTTTGGGCATTAAGATAAAGCTGAGCTGCACTATTTTTATTGTTTTTTTAATTTATTTGTTTACATTACATTTTTTAACCAACCAGCGACCACAGTTTTTAGACTAAACTGTATCTGTGTATATGACTTAAAACCTTTGAAACCTTTCGAAACATTTGTTTTTCTTTTTAAGGCTTGAGGTTTTTTCTTCCAATAGCAGTGTGTTGGATCATACTGTTAGCCATCATGGGTCTTCGTATCTACTGTGAGTATCTTCTGTTGGAATGTCAGTTCAACAGTTTGAAACAGGCTGAAATGTGTGTTAAGGGTGAAGAGTGTGTGTGTGTGTGTGTGTGTGTGTGTGTGTGTGTGTGTGTGTGTGTGTGTGTGTGTGTGTGTGTGTGCGTGTGAAGGTGTCTGCTTGTGTTCTCCATATTTTACAAAGGCAGTGGTTTGAATCGTCAGAGCTTTTGCAAGATGTCTACAATACAGAGATCAGTTGCTCCGCCTGTTATCTCTCCAAATGCAGTTAGCTCGTTGCTAACTTGTTGCTGCTCTAGTGAAGTTAGCCGGCTGTGGCTGACATGTTCCTATAGTTCACTTTTTCAAAGGACAGGTCTGTCAGACGCCCACATGTACATAGAAAACAGTTGGTGTTAGGTGTAATCCTGCCTCCTGTTAATACTGGCCCTGTGCAAAGATGTATTTCAGAAGAGGTTTTTTTTTTTATACTTAACAAGATAAACACTTGATTTAACAATCTTAGACCATCAATGCTGCTCCGTTCACATGTTTATATGTGCGTCTGACTATTGTTTTAAGAAAGATACAACATATGAACCTGTTCTTTAATGTCTATTATGATCATTAATCACTCAGAGACACAAGCCTTACAGCCCAACACCTTCCTCTGTCTCTGTAGTGACCTCTGAACTTTCTGAAGACAACGCCAAGCAGACTGCAGAAATCCTGAACCTGACATCAAGAATCCAGGAGCTGGAGACACGGGAGAATCTCACGGACCAGTCGGGCAACCTGACACAAGCCTATACTGTTCTTAGAAAGCAACGTGAAAGACCTGAACAAACTAAACCAGGAGCTGGAGACCAAGAAGAAGAACTTGACACAGCAAATACAAAACATGGAGACAAACCGGAATGAGCTCAACATCAGTCGAGCTCAGTGGAGCATCGATTCCTACTGCTTAGGAAATACCGGTATGTTCATATCATATTAGGTCATCATTACAATATGTTCATACTGCAGTCATGTTGTTGATTGTTTGGACTCTGTTGTTTCAGATAAAAAGTGTCAACCTTGTCAGTTTGGCTGGGGACTCATTGGTCTCAGCTGCTATACAATCAAAAACCCTCCTGGTTGGAAAACCTGGGAAGAAGCTCGAGAAGACTGCAAAGGAAAGAATTCAGATTTGGCTGTTGCACGTAATCCTGCTGAAAAGGTAAACCCGTTCATATGAAGCAATTATGAAAGTAATTGTGTTTTGTGTAGGTTTGAACCAAGCGGCAAACTCTGGGGAAGAGCCGGGACGCCAATACGGAAGTGCCACAAACTGCAGTTCATATATTGGCCGATAGGCGCTGACTGCAGAAAGGAGCAATTTCCATAGACCCCCATGTTTAAAATGCCCAATTTTACAGCCTAAAAAAACATGTTTCTACCCATGGATCCAATAAATATTATTATGAATATAGTTAGATTCCACCTTCATGATTATGAATCTGTGAGTGAATTGTTTTCTAACGCCGACCCTTTTATTTATAATAGGTCTTAAAGTGTTTGCATAAATTAGGGCGTGGTCACATTGAGTGACAGCTCTGTCAGGTGACTGCTGCTGTTAGCTTCTTGTCTCTCTGCTAGCTGCTCCGTGAACGGCGTGAAGCTACAGGGACTCTGCTCTGCTCAATTCATCCAGGGAACACAACTTGACCCCGGCCGTGTTTGTTTGTTCTTCATGCTTATATATCGGACTATTGTGACTCGCTCTGCGGTTTAAAACAGACGGTGCATGAATGCCGTTTTGCGGGTAAGTGAAATTCGAGTACTTTATTTATGTGTTATGATTTTAATCAGCTACGTAATGAATGTGTTAGCGTGTAAGCGAGTGGTAGCTACATCGGTGCTAACGATGCTAATCGTAGCCTCCAAGTTAAAACCATAGACTGTATATATAAAGGTTAAACGAAATAGACAAGTGTTAAGCGTTAAGTGGGATAATACTATAGAACAAACGGCTTCTGTTTGAGGTTGATAAAATAAGGTCATCCTTGTAACTTAGAGAGATATTTTATTATGTAGGTAGGAACTGTATGCATCGCTAAGGTAATTTAAATTGGCTATGCTCGAGTATGTAGACAAGCTAATGTCGAAGTAGTGTATGTGAAATCAATCTCACAATAAGATGTGTGTATATTACAATTATTAATATTCACAGATGATTACTTAGATATTACAATATGGATGGTTGAGCTGGAGTTCATTATTGAGCTTACACGTTAACGTCACAGTCATTCTGAAGAACGAACCCAAACCTTGTTGTTTTTATTAATTGCATTACCAAATTGGTATCAAATAAATAGTAAGCATTGGTAACACAACTTCCAAAGTTACAGTAAATAAAAAGGACCCTGACTCGGACAATACACAATCCAACATGTTCAACTGAAGAGAATAAGTTATATTGTTTGTACACATGGTACTTACATATATATCTGTTTGTTTTAAAGTGTCCAGGTGATGCAGACAGGCTGGGCCAGAGAGTGAGAGACAGAACTGGACTCCTCACAGCAGTGAACTTCAGCACAGGTACCAAAGACTCTTTTTTCATACTGTACAAAGAATCAAGAAGATATTGGTTTAAATAAATGAAGTATTGACTTTAATACACTGATATACATTCCATAACAATACTAAATGCTAGATCACTTACACATCAGTTAAGTTGAGGGTTTTTTCCATGCAAAAGATTACATTTAGATGTTAACAAGCAATATGTCAGCTTTCTAATTTAATGTATTGAAAGCAAAGCTATTTAAACATAGTGAGAACTGCTACTATTTATCTCTCAATATAGTCTGTAAAAAACGTGGTAAAAGTTATTCTTTCAGTGAGACAACAGAGCAAGCTTCTACAGTTGCACTACGTTTTGATAACAGTTCAATATTATTTTGATAATAAAATATATTTCACTGTTGATGAATTTTCATACTGTTCATTCATAATATGATTGTCTTGTAGCTCACTGTTGAAATAAAAAATAAAAAAATATAAACATATAAAATAATTATATCTACAGCCCCTAACCACACAAACACATCGCTTTCATAAATAACACAATAATAATATGTTTTATGGATCCTGTAATTTTTGTTTTCTTTTCTCGAAAGAAACGACTCAACATTTTCTCCTTCTCTGAGGATCAAGAAGAACATCCAAGAGGGAAATTAAAAGCTGATGTTATGAGATGTTACGACCAGTACAGGACATTCACTAAGAAACTACTTTTATTGTGAAACACAGTCAGCTGACCGAATGCACCATATTTCACAATCTAACACTCCATCAGCTGATTAATTCTATTTGCCTCACTTTATGAGCTTCACAACATGTACCTTGTACCGCAGAGTTTGCAACGTCACAAATAAATGGGGCCAATCTTCAGTCAGATGTGAATGTGTAATCTAACATTTTCAGTAAGAATAATGGACAAAAGGAGTGCAAATACAAATTCAATTTATTGAAATGTGAACCAAAAGTTAATCAAACTTGTTTTAAATAAAAAAAGCACATATGGACAGAAGGTGTAAACCTATTAAATGTATAAGTAAACACATTTAGTCAAATAAAATGACAGACTAGGCCTGTGCAGTTGGTATCAGCTATGCCCAGCATCCATCAGGCCTGGTCCTCCTCGCAGAGGAGAGACCCTCAGTCCTCTCCAAAACCAACATACAGGACGTCCATCACACGGAGGTTCTCCCTGAAGTCTCTGCAGCTCTCTGGACACCACGCTGTCTCAATCCGTCCACACTGAATATGAGAGGGGAAAAAATGAAAATAATGAATGCTTTAGACAATAAGAAATATAAAGTTGACTGTTGAGTTGCTCAGTTTTTTTAGATTGTCAATACTATTACTGTATAACTAATATCTCAGGTTAAGAGGCACATTCAAATAAAGATTGGTCTTTAAATACATTTTGTCTTTTGAATTGTTTGTCTAAAGTCAAGGATCTAGAACTGGTACTTATAGTTTTAATGATACAGTCTGGTTATAATGCTGTTTGGAGGAGGTCTCACAGGTAAGAGCACTAACTAGCTATCATCACATGTACCTTAGCTTGACTTAAATGTATTAAACGTATAATTAAGTGATAGCAAAATATAAATAACTAATGTCATGCAAACATATTAATATTTGCTTGATTCCAGTGTTGAATTTAGGCACAATTGCATACAAACGTTAAGGGATTTTAAGATTCTGAAGTATTACAGTATGCTAAAAACTCAATAACTTAGATTATTATTTATAGTTTTGCTGAATAGTTTCATGTCCGCTTACAGATGTAGCAGCTAATTTAGGACAGTTTGAAACGCGAGGGTCTTGGTCGGCCCGTGGTCGGCCCGTGAACGGCCCGTGATTTGCCCGTGATCAAGAGACTGCCTCCAGTCTGACTTGAGACCGCCCCCGTGATAAATAAATGTAATTATTGTGAAGCCAGCTGCAATGGATCAATGATCCACCAGGGGGTGCAGTGGGGGTTCCACACTGGAGCTCATGTGAAATCAACTTCAATACAGATACCAGTATGTCTGGTAC